CGCACTGAGGTGATGTTCTACCCCGATGACAAGGATGTACTGGGAGAAGGAACCAAGACCATGAGATTCAGCAATAAGTGCTCTATCAGCTCCTTGTGGCTCCTTGTGGCATGCACATGTTGGCATGTTGGACAGCAGCTTTCTCACACGAAGGTACGAGACGAACGACTCTCCCCTTGCTGCCGCAATTTTCAAGGCCTTTCTGAAGCCCGTGTCACCTGGCCTTTGCTCTGCATGCGTGCAGGTGAAAGGTGTAAACGAGGTTTTGCTCGCGGCAAAGCACGTGACAGCTGCTTGGCGCTGACTGGGATGACGGGAATTTGATCCAAGGCTTCGGGTGATGTCAGGATTGGGTTTAGGGTTGGTCGGTTTAGGGATTGGTTTAGGGCCCTGGGCTGCATTTGCGCTGGTTTAGGCTGGGCTTAGGGTTGGTTGCAGTTGATTTCGGGCGGATTTGGGATTCATTTTGGGGTTGTATGGATTTTGCGGTTCGGTTCGGGTGTTTTGATTGGTGTAGGGCTGTTTAGGGTTTAGTTCCGGTTGGTTTCGGGCTTGTTCACGGTTGGTCTAGGTGAATTTATGTTGGGCTTTGGATCGTTTGAGGATTTTAGGATTGGTTGGGGCTGGCTTGGGGCCCTTTACGTTTTAAGGTAGATACGGTGGTTCAGGGTCGGTCTGGAGGTCGGGCAAGGGCTGGTTTCGGCGGGTTTGATTTCGGGGTGGTTTAGGGTGGGCTTGGGGCTAGGTGCGGGTCCAGGGCGGGTTTAGTTCTTTTTGAGTTACTGTTATTCGGTTGGTTTAGGGTCAGTTTCAGGGTGGGCAGGGGACCAGGCCAAATTCGACAACTGCTACTGCCAACCGTTGGCAGTCATCGGACATTGCAGCTAAGTTGATTGCAAGTAAGGTCACCAAGAAGTCAACATCAGACTGGTTCGCCCGTCTTCGTTTCCTTGTTGTGAATGTTGCCCACGACAAGCTGTGCTTTTGTTGAAGAGAGAGGATATATGTATATATATATATATAGTTATGTATCAGCTCGCCAGGAACCTTCTGCAGCCGAACTTGGAGCTTGTCATCAGCCAGTTTTACGCTGCCGGGCTGGAGGCTGGTGATGGAGAGTGCTTGTACAACTTGTACTGCTTTGCGTGCACATGTCAAGGCACTGCGGGAGGGCGCTCGACAGACACAGGGGGCTGGCGCCTTATTTCCTTGTCGATTCGAATGCCGGTCTCGGAATCCGCAGTGAGGCCTCGTTGGCCCTGGATCCGGAGAGCATCGAGGCGCAGCCCGCATCCTTGAGGCGTATCGCCATGACGTACGACAGGGCCGCGTTCACGCTGTGCTGGAAGAGCGAGTGAGACCTTTTGTCCAACAGGACCCCGCTTTTTGTGGGACAACTCTGAAGCTTTGTGCAGACCTTCCCGATCAAACTTTTGCCGCAGGATGGTGGTGACGTCCTGTTTGAGCGTTTCGATCATTCCAGCGGCATTTTGTACCTCCGCATGATAGGCTGGCTTAGTTCTTTTGCACAACCTTGAAAGGTCTAGGGTGTTTTGGAGAGCTCCAGCACTCCAGGTGCGTGCTCGGGTTGCCCTAAATCCAGCGTGACACTGAACATGGGCATCAAGAACCTCATGGAGCATTACATACCCGAGGCCAGCGAAAAAGTGGGAAGATGCTGTTAAGATTGCTGAGGAGTTGGCGGATGCCGGCAGAAAGTTAGCATGCAGGGCATCTCAGGCCATGATGGAAGAGGCTTTGGCATCCTCTACATGTGCCACCCTTGTATATTGTTGTAAACAAAGCACTTGTGTTGTGAACAAGAATCGAAAGTGAGGAACCCCTTCTTTGCAGTGCATGCATGTCATGGCCATTTGGGCGAAACACCTTTAGCCATTTTGGGCCACGTTTTTCCCACCCGACAGGTTTGGGGTTGTTAGATTTTTCGTTATGTGACATCCAAGTGCCGCAGCCCGCTGACAGAGCCCGTGACAAACAATTGCGACAGAGCCGTGACAGATGTGACAGCCAGCTGTGACAGCCGCGACAGCCTGTGACGGACAGAAGTGACAGACGACAGAGCTTTGTGATGGACAGCTGCGGCTCGAAGGTTGAGCCTCCCGTTGGGCTGGGACAGCCGTGACTCCGAAGCCGGGAGCCTGAATTCTGGGCTCCCGGAAGCCCGAGGTTGCTGCTAGCCGCGCCGCGACAGCCGCGACGGGTGACGGGACGTCTGAAGTTCCTGCCAGTCAGTCCTGCCGTCGTCGCAAACAGCCTGAGGCTGGGGGTGCTGGTCCAACTCCCGCAGCCACGTCAAGGCTCCCGCTGACAGCTCGAGTGGCCGGGCCAGGACCCCCGGGACGGAGACAAGAAGCGCGAGCAAGAGCGGCAGCAAGCACGTTCGGGGCAAACCTTTGCACAATTAGAGAAGTCAAGCAAGCCGGCAACTCGATCAGCGCAGGATAAAGCGTTCGTGCACAAAGCCTGTGAGCAGGTAAATTCTGCTACATGGAAATGTTCGAAGTAAAGTAGTTTTTCCTTCTCCTCGCCTTCCTGCGCCTCTTCTCTTCGAAGTGGCCGCGGATTCCATCCGCGGCCTTTGAGTGTCTCGCTGCGTGCGAGAGGCCCTCGACGGACAGCACGTTGCTTCCCCATTTTGCTTCCAACAGGACGTCGCCTACTTCCCCTTGCCGTTTCACCCCTGCTCGGCGACCAACACCTCCAACTCTGCGACAAAGAGGCTGCCAAACAAGACGTAAAAAGTGGGCTGGCTCCACATGGACCGTGTTCCCACCCATGCCAACATTGCAAAATCCGCCGTTTTGACAACAGTGTCGGCGTTCAGCTCCGGGATCCGCGCCATCGCACCGTGAAGATCATCAGGACATTGAGTTCCGTCCATTCATGTGGCTTGGGTTTGCGACCATACAGATAAGAGTATTGGAGACTGAAGATCTCCACAATGCAGGCCCACTTGTGGCCAGTGGTGAAAAGACCGCGTCCGCTGGCTGCCGAACAACCTATAGTGTTGGTGGAGAGTCAGGTGGTGTGTTCCGAGCAGTCAGAACATGCATTTTGGTAGGGGTTGGAGTGCCTAACAAAACATACCAGCCACCAAAGCTTTGTGCAGGTGAAAGATGTGTTGCCAGCAGAAGACGAGGACTCAAGGGTCTGGTATCACCGAGTCGGCAACATGTCGCATGCTTTTGGCTTGTCGGGGTTGAGGAGTAGAGTGGCAGCTCAAGAACCTTTGGCTCCGAGACCTGCATCACGTTGGTCAAGAAATGTACATACAGGTTCCTCAGGTTCCTTTAGAGGGTCACACGTGCGGCTCGCGAAAGATTGGGGCGAAACTGGAGGTGCCACAACTCGTCAGCCCCAGGATGCTTGGATTTGGCCGGAGCTTGCCGTGTGCAGTCTTTTAGATGCACACCGGGTCACCACTTATGCTTCGTTTGATGATTGTGTGAATTGCGCAGCCAATGGCCAGACACAGCGATGCATAGACACAGCAAACTTTGAGATCAAAGTGCCCCAGCCGAGAGTGAAATAAGATCCCTTCCATGATCAGCAGGCGACGCAGATAGACTGTATTGTGAGCCGCAGCATGCAAGACCAAAGGCGTATGCAAGCTAGATCACGCGAGCATGCAATGGAAGGGAATGAAGAAGAACTTGGCCTTTTGGCCGAGTTTGGATCCGACCCGGATGTTGGCGCTGTGCTTAAATCTCTGCAGCGTCAACAAGTTGCATTGCCGTTGCCCCGTGTTAGACGGTGTTAGACCAGTTGGTGGGGAGACTCGCAGTGTTGTGAATCGCCTCAGTTTGTTGCAGGTTCATGCAGGGGGACATATTGAGCTGTGGGTCAAAACCAATGGTGCCATTTTATTTTGGGGTAGGTGCACTACCCATTTTAGGCTATTTTAGTGGGGATTGGGATGTTCACTGGGACCCATGGCCAAATGTTTTTGTCTTGCTTGATGACACTGCTGCTCCAGGTGCCGGACCTCCGCCCCCGGAGGAGGACGCGGAAATGCGCCACCGCGGCTCCCGGGCCAAGGATCCGTCCACCTCCAGGCGTGCAGAATGCACGCAAGAGGCAAGTGCAGCGAGGGAGTCTCGCGAATGCAGGGTGCAGAACTGGCAGGAGGAGGACAGGTTATTTTCCAGAAACACTTCCAGTGCTGCGAAGTGAACGCCAGCAACTCGCAAGCAGGAGGGGTCATCCGCCACACTGCAGAACTTTGGGCACCGCGCTGGCTGGCTGGTTCTGCTTTTGCTGTGCCAGTCCAGCTCTTCCTTCATTCTTCAGCGTCACACGACTGAATTACCGAAATACGATATCATTTTTTGTGTGATAGCATTGACCGTGGTGGGAAGGTTTGTTGTTGAATGTTCGGTGCGGCTTGAATCTGAGGTTTCGAGCAGCTCTGTTGCACTAATGCATCATGCTTTGGCAGCCCTGCGGCAATGCTTGGTTTTGCTTTCGGCCATGTGAGCGCACGTTGTCCTTGACAAGCTGGGATCTGTAAAACAGGCGGCCGTTGCAATTTGTCCGGTGACACTTGCGCCCCCCCCCGTTGTCAATATGTAGGAGTCCAATTCCTGTCACGGCAATATTGTTTTTGGTTGGCTTGAAGCCCTGGCGCAGATGGGGGTAGCACCATGTAGAAACGCATTGAATCTGATGCACATTTGAATAGCATTCGCTCGCTGGATTTGCTGCCCGCCGCTGTCAGTTCCAGCGTGAGTATTTCGTCTTCAGCACTGCCTCTCAGGTTTCTCATTAAGTCGCACCCCACTGTGATTTACTTTCTGACGATGCTGGTCGGAGCTGGCGGCAATGCTGGAGGTCAAAGCACAGTTTTGGTGGTGCGACGTTTGGCGTTGGCAGGGAAGCGGAATTCTTTGTCCTTTCACCGCATCGTCGGGTCTGAAATCCTGGTGGGCGCCAAGTTGGCTATTGTGCTCTTTGCTGCGGCCTTCCTGCGATGTGCCATCTTCAAGGCGATTCGGTTGCAAGGCAGTGTGCAGAACACTGTGAATGAGATGCTGTCAACGTGCTCCAAGGTTTTCGGAGCCGAATGCATCGCGATTTGCTTGTCAATGCGCCTTGGATATTTCCTGGACACGGGGATGCGCAAAAAAACATCGCCCCACGCGGTGGCCGAGGTTCGTCATCGTTTTTACCTCCACAGCGCTTGGAGCGGCTCTGCCGTTGTTTCTGAGCCACCTGGGGTTAGATCCTGCGCATGCTGGTGCGACCATCCAAGTGCGACTTCGCCGCATGATCAAGTTTCAATCCTTGAGCTCTTACATTGGCCAACCGCAACTTGTCTTGCCCAGGGTGATGGATGTCAGCGGAGTTGCGCTTACGTGTGTCCTTCAGCTGCAAGGGTAAGCCAAGAGAGGAGCAGAATCGTTTCTGGCAGGTGATATCCAGTGCTGTGCTTGGCTTCAAGGACCATTTCAAAGTCAAGCAGCCTAGCCACCAACCTTGGGATGCAGGAGCCTGTGATTCTTGAGGCGGTGCCAATCACCGGATCTAGCCACAAGGTGTCGAGTCGCGTCAGCTCTTGTGTCGCCCGCGCTTTCTCTCGCAGGTGCTCACACACCCTTCAGGTGCACCTTGAGGGCTCGGCCTTCCCCCACTCAGCGGCAAAGTTCTGCGCTTCGAAAAGGGAAGTGTGACCAAGTCGGTGAGGGCCAACGTGCCCTCGGCATGTGGTGTCCCATGCTTGACGCAGGCTGGAATCCGAAAACGTGATTTATCACCCTTTGCTGGATGGAGGTTTTTTGTGATGTATCCAATTCCATCTTTCGAAAGTGGAGATGAATAGCCTGGGGCAGTCTTGATTCGACGCGCATGTCTGCTTGGTTCAATGGGCACTGTGGCCTTAAGCCGATGCCATGGCTTTTACCGATGCAACGCTTGGACTTTGACATGTGGCTTTTGCAGTATGTGGTGGTTCAGCCTCGCGAGCATGCTAGTGGATGTTGCAGCACTTTCCTTTGCCCGTGCGGGCAATCTTGCAAGAAGTATACTTCGGGGTGATATGCTTGTCTGAGGGTTGTGGGAATACATTTGAAATTCCTTCCCCCACTTGACTTCAGATGTGACATTGCTGCGGTTTTGCAGATGCTGCTGTCTGGGCTGAATCAGCGAATGGTCATGCTCCTTACTGCTGCCATGAGTTTTTCGCATGTGGGGGATGTTGCAATACATCAATTCGAGACAGTCTAGAAGGGAGAAGGCAAGCACAGCGATCAAGGAAATTGGTGGCAGTATCGCAAGACAGCAAGCGGTTGGATGACTCAAGCATTGCCTCTGACATTTCGTGCACCCACACACACACACACACATTGAGTTTTCTAGTTGATCATGGATGCCTTGGATGAAGGCGCGCCCTGAATTCTTGCATTGGATTGGGTTGAATTATATTGGCCGCTGCAGTATAGTTGCTTGCTTGTTGTTTTGCTACTTGCCTGTATATGAATTCGCTTCACTTTGCCCCCTAGCTGCTGAAACAAGACATTAGAATTCCTTGACAGAGTCTCTCGCAGAGTCTGTATGATGGAGTGGTCTTTGGTCTATATGCCGGCCTGGCTGTTTCCTTACTTGCGGGAGCAGAGAGGTATACATAAGGTGTCGTCGTGATGCTTTTCAGCAATTTGTAGTTCACGTGCTGAACTGCTTAGTTCCTTGTCGTTTTGAATACCTGTCCTGCTTTGCCCCAACGCCGCCGATCCGATGCCTGAGCTGTGCCATGCGTGTCAGGAAAGACTGGCCAGGGCCTGGATCCCAGAGCGACTTATCATGATATTCCATGCCCAGTTTTGATTTCGCCGTAGCCAGGCCTGGCGAGTCAAGAGGCGTCTCTTTTTGCAGCTGACCGTCTGTCTCAGACTTGAAACGTTCTTGATCTGCCAGGGTCAGAACCCCTTGCTGGCTGCCATCAAGCGTGAGGTTGAGGCTTGGTGTCTGGAGTGGCCCTGGCCAGAGATTTCTTGAAAAGCAAACTCACATTGGACCATTGAAGCCAATTCTCTCTGAAACAATTTACCAAGTTGGTTTCACTGGCATGCAACTTATATTCTGCGTCTTTCCGCATTTCTTCTCTTGGTAGAGCGGTCATGGGTTTGTGTTCGATGCGCGCTGCTTTGCCGATCTTCTAAGCGGCTCTGAATCGGGCAGGCAACCATGGTAGGACTTGTTGCATGAATCCGCTGATGGACTGCAACGATGCTTCGGGATCGCCTTCTTGCTGTCTTTGGGAGATTGGCAGAAGCGACTTCAGAAACTGGCCATTGACCATTTTCCGAAGGCATTGGAGAGTCGACTGGTTGCACGGGCTCCGCGCTTACCACGACATGTGGACTGACTCTTGCGCTGATTGTGGTTGAAGCAGCTGTTCCAGATTGCAAGAATCGAGCAGCAAGTGGATGTTACAGCTGTGCCGAGCTTAGGAATCGTTTTCGCTGTGTTTCAAGCCCTTTTTACGAGCAGGGCATTCAGTTGCGCACTTGCCTTTTCGGATCTGCAGGTGCTTGAGAGAGTGGCTGCCACGGAGCAAAAGCTGCAGGCTGCCAGAAACCCAGAAGATGTTTTATGCTTTTGCCCGAGCAAAGAGAATTCGCAGCAAGGCGGAGCATCGCCATCGTCAGCCAGGGCACTGAGCAGCCAAGAGAGATGTGTTTGCATTCAAGTTTGCAACTTGACCGCTGCAGAGCGTAGCCTCAAGGTACTTTGCACTGCGAAGACTCATTGCACAGTCTTGCCGTTTTTCCAAGATGGCTCGCTTCCTTGCCGCGTTGGCCATGGCTGTCATCGTGGATGCTCACTGCCTCTATGACAACGTGGGAGCCCTGCAGTCCTGCGGCCGTGGATGCTTCTCCAAGCCCGGTGCGAGTCAGGCCAGCTGTGTTTCGGGATGCTTGTCTGGCAGGGGCGTGAGCTACCGCTGCTCGCGCTGCCTGGGCAGTGGCTTCACCTGCGCCCTCCGGTCTTGCCGCTCGGCTTGCTCGTCCGGGCTCTCCACCTCGCAGTGCACCAGCTGCATCGCGGGCAGCTGCGGCCTCTGCTCGGGCGCCACCAAGTCGATGCAGAACGAGACTGACGCCGTGGAGTCGATGGCCAAGGTGCTGACGTCCCTCAAGGACCACAAGGACCTCGGGGAGACCCCGGAGACCGCGGAGAAAGAATCGGAGTCGGTCGCGCCCGTCGCGCAGCCCTCTGTGAAAAGCGGATGCTACGAGAACCAGGGCTTGCTGAAGACCTGTGGCACCCAGTGCTTCTCTGCGGCCAACCGCGGAGTCTGTGCAACCAATTGCCTGAAGGGGAAGGGAATGAGCTCGGCTTGCGCTAGCTGCTTCGGTGGCAAGGTGGATTGCACTATCAAGAACTGCTTGAGCACATGCATGTCCAACAGCCAGTCTGCCGCATGCAAAAGTTGCGTTCGTTCCAAGTGTGGCCGCTGCAGCTCTGAGAAGTCTGCACCAAATGATGACTTCCTCTCGGAAGTTGCAGCGGCTGCTATCGGCAAGGCCGAAGAGGCAGCTCTGTATCCTTGATGCAACTTTTGCCGTGCGGCTCACATGTAGCCCCACAATGCATTGTTAGTTGGCAGAAGCCTAAAGCAAGCTTCGCCAAGCTACAGAATTCATTGGCTTGCGCACATGGTTGATGAGCATGTTGCTTCTGAACCATTGGAAGAAAGCTTCGTGAAGAAGGCAGGATAGCTTATCAGTGTTTTCCACAAGCCATTTGATCAACCTCTTTGTGCTGAAAGAGCAAAGAGTATTTGCCCTCGCTCGCAAGATGCGCACTGTCTTTGCAGCTAAATTATGGTTCATGATGTGCCGCGATTGGATGCGCATGTCATGGGCTTCCAGAGGTCGGAAGTGGTCATTGCCCAGCTCTCGGGTCTTGTGTGCCCTTCCCAGTCTATCGGAGCTCAATGAAGCTGGATCTTCAAAGCGCACCTTCTGTCCCGCGAGGCGTGGTGTAAGCGAAGAGTTGCAATGCGTTCAACGTGTCAAGACCTCAGTTGGCATCGTTGTACATCTGACACATGGCATGGTGACCAGGCTGGACGGCGAGAAGCCGAGGAGCGCAAACAAACATATTGCACGTTGTTCCAGAGCATTCGAGCAGGCTGCGAACTTGCCAGGTGAAAGCCCCTGGTGCGCCGCCTGTTCTGCATTTGCGCAGATTTGTCACGCAATGCTATTGCTTTCATGGTGTGTGATGCGTGTGTGGAGTTCCACGCATGACTTGCAGCTTTCTCCGATGCGGATGTCTTCACCTTCTGCGCATTTGCTCAAGCTTATCCCACAAAGCTGCGCTTTGCATTGTTCTTGGTTTACAAGAAGCATCAGCTGCACCATGTAGCAACTGTATTTTACGATGAAAGTAGCTTGTAAAGGACCCTCTGCTATGAGCTTCCGAAGCAGAGCTGTCGACCGATTCCTGCAAACTGAACTGTGCCGCGGCAGAGCCCACACTCGGGCAACTGCAAGAACTGTGACACTGCGACACAGTGACACCCCAATCTTGCAAGCTTTTTGATGCCATCGTTCTTCAAAAGAGTCGCACATGCAGAAGTGGTTCAGCCTTGAGCCTGGCTCTGATGGATTCCAAGCCTTCGGCATGGGGTGCTCAAGGCACATTGGGACTCCAAGCCCAGTCTTTCGGAGCCAGCGCTCAGGTGATGGCCAGTGACAGCGAGAGGCGGGCCAGTGGATGCAAGAGGAAGTTGCGGTGGTACTGTGGATGGACGAAATCCTGCCCCACCCAAGAAACCCTGGAATGATTTGATTCCCCTGTAAATAACAACAAAACATGGTTTCCCATGGCTTCAACGTGGTGCGAAATGGATTTCGGCCATCCACAGTAGCACACCGCCTTGTAGGGGAAGCACTGCCCCACCACGTGTCACGGGCTCAGTGGGCTCAGTGAGGGCAGCGCGCTTTGCCGAAGTGACGGCCGAGTAGCATGCCATTCACGAGCTGCAGGTTTCTTCCAGCAGCGCTGTTGTGGAAGAGTCTCCGCATGTGCAGGCATTTTTAGCGGTGCTTCGCAAAGCTTGAGCAACATGGTCAGTTGTTCTTGTCTCTTTATCTTGATTGAATGAGCTTTATGGCTTGCTTGCTTGAATGTTGCATGAAAGACACGGATCCACAGCCGGGCAAAAGAAGACAGCAGGTGAATGTAATCCGCGCGGCTTTGCTTGCCTTTACTTCGAACCCTTTCGCATGGTGAAATTAACAAGACCGGCATTGTGCCAACAACATTCAGACGGGACAGTTGATGCTCAACTATACTCCAGGCACTGAATGTTTAATCCATGGTAAGTCCCTTACATTACGGAAGTCCAAAAGACGTTAGCTTCCGAGCGAGAGGCATTGCGGTACTGTGCAGCTCTTACTTTCGTTTACCAATCAACAATGGCAGCGCATCACTCCCGATGCGATCTTTGTGACAAGGTAACTTTGAAGACTTCTTGGAGCACCTCAACATAAACCACACATCTCCTGGCCTCTCGCTCGGCTGGAAGGACGTTGCTTCGCAAAGTTAGGATGGGAGTATAAGCTGTAAATTGAGGCGGTTCCATCGTTGGGCCAGCGGTTTTTGGTCTGTTTGTCCTTGCTTGAGGCGGGATGGCCATGGCTGCAGCGCAGCACATGCCCGGACCTCGGACCCCAGAGATGCAAGCAACAGATTTGGCCATGGGTTGCATATCCTATGGCGATCCCATTTTGAGGTGGATGAACATCCATTTGCCTATTTTGATGTTCAGCGGTACAGGGTTTTGACCCACAGCCATGTCGGGAGCGCATCATTGGCATCAGGTTTTCGGCACCATTGCCTCCGCAGTGGTCCGAGCAGATAGATGAGAACAGCTCCCGAGCCTGAATCCGAGCGGGCTTGATGCGATACTTCTTGGATCCGACTTCCGCGTGCTAGCTGTCAGATTTGGACGGGCTGCGGCCTTCGCAAGTCTTGTGAAAGGTGTACTTCTTCAATCGAGCCACTGGCGAGTCATTGTGGACACATCCGCAAAAAACGATCTTTGAGGCGGGGAATTGCTCAGGGCTCAGCCCATGAAGCTTCAGTGCTAGGAGCTGCTTGAAGAAGTGCAATCGTGGCAGCCGGACTTGACGTGTGAGGCATCGGCTTTGGAGAACAAGCAAGCGACATAGCACGAAAAAAAGAGAAGGGACAAACAAGAAATTCCTGTGTGAGGCGATTGCTGCACATGCAGATGCCCATCTGCGAAAAGCCCAGAGGAGTGCAGTGGAGGCCATGGAAGCAGTTGCTCGTCGTCGCATTCAACACGTTTTTGGTTGTTTTGTTGCACAGAGCAGGCGCTAGCGCAGTGGAGCGCGTTCGATGCTCCGCAGGCACGGTTGGGTATTGCAGGGAGTACGATATTGCAGAAGGGAGCAAAGCGTGCCTGGCACCATTGCCGCCCGCACATGTGAGGGGGACAGCATGTTGCCACCTTGGCCAATGGTTTCTCATTCTTCTTGTCGTCTTCCTATAGCCTTCCCGCAAACTTCGCGTAGTCTTCCCGAAAGAATCTCCCCACAACCATCTGTACTCAGCGTGCACCCGCCCACCACGCGCTCGCAGACCGCGCGCTCGATTGCCCTCTGTCTTCCCGTATTCTTCCAACAGTCTTTCTTTATTTTCCCGCAGTGCGTCCGTAGACTCTTCATAGTCCAACAGTTCCACCAATCGTTGTATTGTATCGAGCTAGTTTTCGATTGTGGCAGATTGCACCTTGCCTTGTCGCCATTTTGCTCAAGCAGTAAATTGATGATTAGTTCCTGATTGTCCACCTTTTGAAGCATGGGCAATGCGTTCGGCTTCGGTTCGGCGGAGTCAATGGGAAATGTAGCTGTGGAGCATGAGAATATTTGCGGGCGAATGGGCAATGCACTCTGTGGAGTTTGTGTTGGTCTTGTCTTTTTCTTTGGGTCAATTTTCTTGCTGGGCTGGAATGAGTTCAATTATGTGAGGAATCAGGCCATCCTTTTGAAAGTTGACAAGGAAGTGGTTGAAGCAGGATGTGTACCGAGCTCGGCCAATGCCGACAAAGCCATTTGGGCTTCGTGCCAGATAATGCGCGTCTACGATTTTGGAAGTGATAGTCGGGTGAAGAGCCTAGGCCTATCCTTCTCCGACAAATTGGAGGGCTCTTGGTTCAGGGCCGAATCGCACATTTTTCAATGGGTGGAGGACAAGGAGTGCGAAACTCATTCCACAGCTGGCGGCGGCAAGACAAAAATTTGCACCTATGACTACAACGTGCAGTGGGTCTCGTCTCCAGTAGCATCCTCGAGCTTTTACTGCTATCCCAATTGGCGTTCTGGCTGCCAGCGGAGTGGCTCGGAGATTCAGAATACGGGAAGCTTGCCCCAGGCTTTACAGCAAACCATCCGCGCGCCGGATGGCCAAGTTGGAATGGGCCAGTCGAAGGATACCATGTACCTCCTGAACAGCGGAGAGCTCGGTGTCTTTCAGTCTGAACCCGTGTCGGTTGAATCAGGGCAGCAGGCAAGGGCAACCTCGCAATTTGCTCCGCAACCCAGGGTTTGTGTGGTACTCATTGATGTATAGGGAAGCGGTCCACATCGATGGTGCCCTTTCGAAGTTTTCCGGCCAAGTTTGCACTTTAAGGGGGTCCTCACTTCCAGTTCAGGGTGGGGATGCAGGTGTTTCGTTCTCTTATTGATAAGTTGTCCAAGCATGCAGGAGATCAAGTAATGTATGCCGTCAGAATGCTTGTTGCAGGCCAGCCCGCTCCTTCCCAACAAGCAAGTGGTTGTGACGGGCGGTGGTGTTCAGTTCAGCACCTACCCAGGGCGAGATTCCATCGGAGATGTTCGAACTACGTTCACCCAATCCAACATCCAGACGGGTAACACTCAGGTCTCGGTCATTGCCAAGCAACGTGGCACACCTTCGTCAGGAGATGTATCCTTGAATCCCTGGGATACAAAGCTACCTGGCTCGATGTCCGTGGTGAACTGGGCTACACTTGGTAGCTCTTCCAAGTCAGAGATGATAAAATCGAAGCAGTCAGAGAACGGCGTCCTTGTGATTATGTTGCGATTCCTGGGCTTCATTCTGATGGTAGTTGGCCTTCAGCTTGTTACAGGTCCCATTGCCCTGATGCCTCAGGTTGTCCCGTGCATTGGGGAGATGCTAGGGGAGGTTGTAGGATGCGCGCTTTGTTGCATCAACTCACTGATCTCGCTGGCGTTGTCGCTGACAGTGATTGGCGCAGCTTGGCTGTTGGCGCGACCTTTGCTTGGCCTTGGGCTTTTGCTGGTGGCTGCAGCGGCAGTTTTCGGGGCATATGTGCTACGTGGCAAATACCGCAGTGCTCGATCCCCGTCAATGACCCAGCCAATCCTCGAGGATGGTGCGCAGTTTCGGGGACAGCCGCAGCAGCCGCAGCAGATTCAGGTCACTTGCCCTCAGGGTGTGTTTCCTGGCCAGCTCCTCATGGTACAGTGCCCAGATGGAAGCCAGCGGAATGTGACTGTGCCGGCCGGTGTACAGCCCGGCCAAGCATTTGTCGTCGCGCTTTGACGGTTTCAGTCTTGTCGTAGATTCATGTTTCACCGCCGACAGCCGCTTGGGCTGTCAGGTGTGCGCCACGAGTTACGAAGTTGCACCAAAAAGCCCAGCTGGATCGGTAACAGCGAGCTGGGCCAACGTAAGGTGGCGCAATATGCTCTCAGTCATACCGTTATACCAGTTATACCTGCGTGCCGCAGCCTTTTGGTTCAGGCGCTGCCACTTGTTGGCACCTCAAAGATAAGTTCTACCATCCGTGAGCCTTTCTCGTCCAAGAAATTTAGATGAAGACGGCCTTCCAGAGCTCGAAGAAATCGTCGCTCCTGGCGACGAAGACCACTGCCGACAAGCTCCGGGCGGCCTGGTACGCTTGCCTATCAATGTCTGGGGGCAACTGTCCTTTTGCTTGGCCTAAACGTGGGACGAGGGAGGGCAGGTGTTGATTAAGGTCTTCGTAGGGTATTGTTGTGGACACAGAGTTTTGCTAAACCATACATCTATTAAACAAGCTTTAGAATACCTCAATAACACAACTCAATCGTGGAAGCTCAGTTCCAAAACCATCGAGAGGTTTTCCACGAGTGTCAGCAGTTCCTTCGCACCCAAGGTCACTGGCCTCCTCGCAGGACTTACAATCCTGGTTTGTGTGGCGGACTATGGCCTTGCGGAGATGGGCGGCGAAAAGGCTGCGATGTTTTGGCATCGCAGTGTGAGCATTGCTTGTTGCTCTGCGTCGTGTTGCTTGGCGCTGCGAACGCCTGCCGCCTGCCTGCCTGCCTGCCTGCCTGCCTGCCTGCCTGCCTGCCTGCCTGCCTGCCTGCCTGCCTGCCTGCTTGCTTGCTTGCTTGCTTGCTTGCTTGCTTGCTTGCTTGCTTGCTTGCTTGCTTGCTTGCTTGCTTTGCCTGCTTTGCCTGCTTGCTTTGCCTGCCTGCAGCTGAGGGCATGCGGGTGCGGTCAGGGTGCAGGTGTGCATAATGGTGTTGCATAATCGGTGTGCGTGCGCCAGCGGATAGTGGTGTCCCGTGCATTTGTATGGCTGGGTGTGGGAGTGCATGCGGCGATTGCTTGAGCGCCTGCGTCTGTGGCAGGGGCGCTCGCGCGCATATGTGTGTTTGTGTGTGTGTCAGTATGTTTTTGGCTTGCATTTGTGTTTGTTTGTGTGTGTGTGTGTGTTTGTGTTTGTGTTTGTGTTTGTGTTTGTGTTTGTGTTTGTGTTTGTTTGTGTGTCTGTGTCTGTGTATGTGTCTGTGTCTGTGTCTGTGTCTGTGTCTGTGTGCGTGTGCAGGCGATTCCCTCCGGTGGTCGCTCTTTCATCGTCGAAACCGCAACTGTGCTGGTTTGCATGTGCCAGTCTCAGCATTCCATGATGGCTGAATGATGGAAACAGAAACATTAGTATGCCCTTTCTGGTTCGCCGAGGCTGCTGCCAGCTGCATTCATGCACCTCTCCAAGGCAAGTGATGTAATGATTTGACTGGTCTCTGCATTTGAGTTCTATGTCGGATTTGTATTTCCAGGCCGCCTTCGCAAGCGGCAGAGACAGCCCAAGCCGACGCGGGAAGATCGGCTCTGGCAGCATGTCTGACTTGAGACATTGGAAGTGCTCATTGGGTGAATAACTGCAGCAGAACATGTCATTCATTTTGGCTTGCTACATATGTGCCATGACAAAAATTCCTGTTACGCTGCCCCAGCCTTCAAACGAGGCTACGGAGACATAACAAGGGACCGGGGAAGCCATGACCCTGATTCAAGCAACGAGTTGTGATGATGGCACACGTGATGGCAAGCACGGATGGAGAATTTCTTTTTGATGACTCGTCACTGGATTATTTTCTGACGCTGGAAGCTTCAATACACTGGAAGGCGAAGAGCTGAGCAAGCTGTCGAAGTCTGACCAGGCTCAGGCCCGGGCTGAGTTCAGCTTGCCAACGTCTGGGACAAAACTTAAACGTCGCCGCAAAATCCGCACTGTGGCAGGCCTCCAGCCCTTCAGAGCTCAGGGAGTTTTCGGCGGAGACGCCAAAAGATCACCTTGCAAGCAGTGCCTGAGCCCTGGATCTACAAAGTCCCAGTTCAGTCTGCCATATGTTTGCGCATTGTTTTTACGTAGACACGTTGCTTTGCATATTCCTCTGCACACCTTTGACTAACGTGCCTTCCGCGGATGGCCGCGTTGCACGTCAGCACGGCAGGCGAAGAATATGTCGCAAGCTGTGGCTGCGGCTGTTCGAACTAGTGACCGCGGACGGGCTGAACGTCTGCTGGGTGAGATCATCAAGCACAAGCTGCCAGTGGACACCATGCCGTTCAACTCTGTCGCCCACACAACACTAGTCTCTTTTCTACTGTTTTAGCTGACGCGCGAGACCGCAGTAGAGCAGCGACTAAGCAACATTAACCCCAGTAGAGCAGCGACTAAGCAACATTCACCTGACATTCTAGGATTCAATACGTTGCCAAAGGCGTTGCGGAAGGCATGCATATGCTTTTTGTTCGGAAAGACGGCGAGACAGGTCATTCATGCCTGTGCTAAAACCGGCGACATGGCTGGGGCGCGCCGCTGGCTGCGCCACATGCGCGGCTTGCCTTGGAAATTGGAAGCCACAGCCGGCTTGTTCCGTTCCGCGCGCTGCGTGTTGGAAGAAATCCTGGCGTCAGGTGCTGCGGGTGTTGAGCCAAATACCATCAGCTACAACATCTTGATGGATGCAACCAAGAGCGGTCAGATGTGGTTGAAAGGGTGCTACTGGATCTCGAGCATATTCTGGCAACTAAGGCAGCTGCCAAGGCTGATGATGCAGAAGATGCGGAGCACTGGTTGGCAGAGATGCTTAAAGATGGCGTGACTGCCAACGAGGCATGTTCCATACTCTCATGCAAGTAGCGTTTGGATGAACATGTGGACCACTATACAAACCACTCCATCAAATCCTCAAGCGTGGCTGTGTAGTCCTCTGCTTATGGCCGCAGTAAGAATAGGTGTCATATCAGACATGGCGATGCACTGATGATTGGTGTATTCAGTGATGTGCGTGCGCCTGCGCTGTGCTGTGCTGTGTTTGTTTGTTTGTTTGTGTGTGTGTGTGCAACTCGTACTAGATCACGCATGTTAAATTCGCAATACTTTGCCGATCACTTGCAGGGGGTCAGGCTGGTCTTTGCAGTTGCCTGACCAGATATGCAGATGACTGAGGAAGCAAAGCCAGACGTCAACTGTGTAGCGTACAAAGTCCTTTATTGGCTCCCTTTGAATCTCCGTTTCTCCCGCTGTCTTTGCTTTTTGTTGGATGTGGTGATCCTAGATCTCTGCAAGTGAACCGGGCGCAACCGGCCCGGGCGGGGCGCGGGCGAAGAGCGGGGGCAGGGGCACGGCGCGTGCTCGTACGCGCGCTTGGTGTGCGTCGTGCGTGTGCGAGTGTGCGAGTGTGCGAGTGTGTGTGTGTGTGCGCATGTGTGTGCGCATGTGTGTGCGCATGTGTGTGTGTGTGTGTGTGTCGGCTTTTGGCAGAAGTTGATTTGGGCTTCCTGTTTGAGTGACGCTGCGTGCACGCTAATATGACCTTACATATGGGTGGATGGGTTGAATCAGTTCATGGCAGCTGCTCTCATGTCGCAGCACCGGCCACCGGACGCACCTGGACAGGTGAGCTATGCAACTGTCATTCATGCTCGAGCAAAGCGCGGCGAAACGGAGCTCGCCGAGTACTGGCTGTCGAAAATGCTGGACGCTGGTGTTGAGCCCAACATAGCTCCTTGGCCAGGCACAGGCACCACAGGCATAGGCTCCGCATGCCAACACGTGCCTGCGCATACCGATCTTGAAACAAACCTTTTTCGCCTGTCAACAGAGCGGCGTTTTTTTTTTTTTTTTCCGGCCGGGAGCGAGTTTCGTAGGGACAGGGACATTACTATTGAACATGTGCACCGTGCCACACGTGCGGAAGGCTTCGCGGAAGGCTTCGCGGAAGGCTTCGCGGAAGGGACTTGTTTGCGGGAGGTTGGCGGAAGCTTTGTGGCTGATATGAAATCAAATTCTGTGCGTGCATGGAAAAGCACGGAGAAACGATTACAGCAGAAGAAAAAGGTGTTGCTGCGTACAAGAAACGCAAGAGCAGTTGCCAGCAGCAAGCCAGGAAGTCCAAAACAGACGGCGTATTTCGCTGAAGGTTTGCGGAAGCTTTGCGGAAGCTCCGTGGAAGGGTGGCCCCGTGTTTGCAGGCAAGTGGCCACGTAGCATGGGTAGCCCAATGGAGCCCAAGCCCACACAGGCTGCGTTCCTTTTTGCGCCAACACTTGCGGAAGCAAATCTTGTAAACCATGCGCCGCGGAAGGTTTGCGGAAGCAAACAATGAAACACATGTGCTGCGGAAGTTCGCGGAAGGGACCTCTTGGCCCGCGGCAAGGATGCGGAAGGGTCCGCGGAAGCTTGAATAATGTCCGAGCAAGTTTGTAGGGAATGAAAACCAACGCTCGGCGCATTTGTTCAGGTCAGCTACAACTCCTTGATCTACGCATGTGGGCGCAAAGGCTACGCTGATTATGTCTGTGCTTGGAGGTTGCTTAAGAAGAACATACCTGTTCGGGATTGGTTCACTGATAGGGTGTGGGGAAGGATGACAAGGTCCAACTTCCACGTTCCATGACAGGTGATGCGAGCAGTGCCGAGCGCTGGCTGCGGGAAGCCGAGCAGCGTGGTCTCTCCCCTCGGGTCACGACCTACACTGCAGTGGTTGACGCGTGCGTGCCTCTGCAAGAGCTATCAATGTTAGGGAGCAAACCACACTATATTTGCTGCGTAGATTTGCATGCTCTGCTACAGCGCAAACCGCTGCTTTCGCATTGGACCAGCATCATTCCTTACGCAAATGGCAAAGATGTTGAACTGAGTTCTGTTTTGTGCAATCTGCTACAGATTGCTGCCCCTTACTGCAACTTCAGGCAAAGAGTGGGGATGTTGACCGCGCAGAGAAATGGATGGAGAAGATGAAGGTGCCGAGTGCACACACGTGTTGTCAATTCAAAGTGCAGTGATTCGGTGACGAGCTTGATTGGCTTGTATTGCATGATCTGTGCACATGATGTGCTCATAGTGCCCATCATTTGGTGCTGTGAGGAGGCCAAGGTGGAGCCTAACGTTGTCAGCTACTCTGCCATGATTGATGCCTGTGCAAAAGTCGGCGATGCAGTGCGTGCCCAGCGCTGGCATCAGCGCATGCGGAATGCTGGCGTGCAGCCGAATGCCCACAGCTTCAGCGCCGTGATCAACGCATGTGCGAAGAGCGGAAACCTGGTGGCCGCTTGCGAGGAGTTTGACCGAATGGAACAGGCTGGGGTTGTGGCGGACGTCGTGGTCTACAGCGGTCTTCTGGATGCCTGTGCCAAAGCCGGCGATTTGGTTCGCGCCAAGGAAGTCTTCGCCAGGACGCTTGTTCTGGATTTCACGTTGCTAGCTATGCTATCAGCTTCCTGTCCATTTCATTCAACTAACGGACTGTGCAGGATGAAGGCTGCCGGCGTAAAGCCGAACGTTGTGGCTTATGCATCTCTAGCGCGACCTTTCGCGCACAGGGGTGAGTGGCAAGAGGCGCGGTCTTTTCACTTGCAAGCGACTTCCACAGCAGTGTGGTGGTGTTGTTGTTGTTGTTGTTGTTGTTGTTGTTGTTGTTGTTGTTGTTGTTGTTGTTGTTGTTGTTGTTGTTGTTGTTGTTGTTGTTGTTGTTGTTGTTGTTGTTGTTGTTGTTGTTGTTGTTGTTGTTGTTGTTGTTGTTGTTGTTGTTGTTGTTGTTGTTGTTGTTGTTGTTGTTGTTGTTGTTGTTGTTGTTGGTTGTTGTTGTTGTTGTTGTTGTTGTTGTTGTTGTTGTTGTTGTTGTTGTTGTTGTTGTTGTTGTTGTTGTTGTTGTTGTTGTTGTGGTGGTGGTGGTGTTGGTGGTGGTGGTGGTGGTGGTGGTGGTGGTGGTGGTGGTGGTGGTGGTGGTGGTGGTGGTGGTGGTGGTGGTGGTGGTGGTGCTGTGTGTGTGTGTGTCTGTGTGCAGGTAGAGAGCTTTGCGACTGACATGCAGCAGGCCGGACTTGAGATGATGCTTGGCTGACTATCTTTAAGGGATGCGGGTACAGAGCTACGCCACGGAAAGCAGACGAAAGTATGAAAAGAGATTCACTGATCTCCCACCTGTTGCGTTCGCCTTTTGAGTCGTGAGAATTCCGCGGGGCACGCAAGCCTCAATGGCTGTTCCCCACAAACTTCTGCCGGTCGCCGCTCCATGTTCTCCGCTAATTGTGTGTCAAAGCCTCAATACCTCCCACAAACTTTGGCCTGCCAAAACTCTCGAGCCAAACTCAAGTCCTGCATCCCCAGAATTCCCCCTCCTGTTTCAGGCGCCACTTGACCGCAGTTACCTTTTGCGTTCACCGGTGCCCCTCAAGTAAACCATACAGTAGTGCTTTCCGCCACTTGGCCAAAGCAAGATAGCAAAGGCATCTTACTTCTAGAAGACTTGCCGTTATTTGTTTGGGAACAAAAACGAAGAGGTATCACAAGATATTTTTGTGCATGTCAAAAGTGCACGACTCCGAACCCAATCAGATAGAGGTAACAGAAAGAACTGCTCGTGCAATAAATCAGATTCTTATCGCTGGCCAAACCAGTTAGAGAGCACATCAACTTCGCAACGGACGTGTTTCTCGGCCCTCGGCACCCAACCCAACACAAAGACACACCACGCAAACGCATGTTTACACCGAAATACCACGCAATACATGAGTCAAAACCCGGGCTGCGCAACTCACTGGCGCAGCGCCTTCCACTGGCCAGCGGTTTTTCTCCATTGGCGCGGGAGGCCTGGGCCGCCTCTACTCATCAGGCAACTGTTGCCTTTTGCACGAGAGCAACCTGCATCGTCCGGTAACATCAGCATGCGTAACTCTCTGCCATACTCGCCAGAGGCATTCTTCAACAGTCACATGCCAAGACTACTCATACCCAGCAATTTATCGTCCACCCTCCTTTGCAGGAAGCAAACAAACAGCATCGACAGTCCTTATGAGGTGAAATTAATGCAGGTGCAACTTCGATTCTGTAGCTGGAGGTCCACGCAGGCCGATCCGGTGCCGCGATAAATCATTTTCACCCTAGAGTAGGTTCAGAAGAAAAAATGAGGTAAAGGTGACAACATTTGCGAGTCACGTTGCCTTGTGGCAGTTGGATCCTGGGAGAACCAGGAATGAGTACTTTCTCTATGCCCAGCTTCTGGCCTATGCCAGCGCCCGGCCTCGCCAGACAGATCGGGCGGAAGCGACCTTTCGGAAAGCCTACGCTAAGGGCCTTGAGGCCAACAAGCATGCGCCTTGGGCTGTGTTCATTTCTGGCTGTGGTAATGACAGTCACATCTGGCTGTGGTCATGCCAACAATCTATCACAGCCGGTCCTTGCTAGATGATTCATGTTTGCAGGTGCTGACAGCCCTCGGACGCGCAGTTGGTCGCGGCAAAGCATCACAGATTGTACCCTGGCTGCATGGAGGTGCATGGAGCACCACCTCGGCTGACCGCAGCGCTTCTGGAGGTCAGAGACCTTGGCATCTCCAGCTGCTTTGAGCCAGACGGACGCGGCAGATGACCACGCCCCTTGGCAGCAATGGCTGCCACCTGATCAAGTTGGCTCTGAAGGTGTTTGAAGCATTTTATCACACAGCATTGCCACTGACAAGGCATCGGGTAGTGCAAGATTGTAGAAGATGCGAAGCTCTGAAGATGCGCAGATGGCATGCTGGCCACTGTGCATGTGACCCTTGCTGACCGAGCTCAGGAAAAAGCGTGCTTTTGCAATGCATAACACCTTGAACCAAATGTAGCACAGGCTGCTGTGACGTTGTACAGTGCATGACAAGGGACAGCCTTTGTTCAATGTGCGCATTTCAACTCTTGGATTATCAAGTGCTCTCGGCTGTGTGAGTCTTTGAACGTTGCTGTCAGGGGCCAGAGGAAGCGCCGGAGTTTGCAGAAACTTCACAGTCAAAACCTCAGGTTGCAATATCAAGCGTGCAGTATGATGACTTGCTTTTGGCAAATGGCATGCAGAACCCAGGTTTTACTTCAATGCTTCAACTGGAGAAAGCAGTTGGGCTGATCCGCGTCAGTCGGTAGAGTTTGATTTGAGGCGGCCAATTTTGTGTCATTTGGTTTGTGGTGGCTTCTTGCTTCAGTTTGGTTAGTCTGACGGCCATCTCTCGGCTTGTTCTTGCACGGCACAGGTTGCGACACAGCATTCTGTCTGAGTGCATGTCTGCCTTTCGTGCGCAGCGGGCTTGGCTTCTTGCGGGCCTTGCAACACGGACGGAATCCATCCAGACGAAGCAAGCAACAACTTGTTTTGCCAACAGAGAGAAGAGCGACGAGAAGGAGAGAGAAAAGGTTGTTGTGAAGGCAATATCGACTGATGCACATGATGCACATGACGCACATGCCACAATTGGGCGCCATGTCATGTAAGGCTGGGGTCACCGGACGAGTCCTCCGAAGGAGAGGTCAGCAACCATGATGCGAGCCTTGCTTGCACATCCTGCATTTTGATTTGCGACAGGGAACATTTGTAGATCATATCAACATCGCCTGCAAGGATTGCGCACTTGTTGACCATAGTACTCCTTGCTGCCGATGTCTTGGGTTAACCCCAGCCAAGGCACCGGGACGTCAGGGCACCATCACGGGCGCTCCCGGCCAAAAATTAAAAAATCAAATCCGATGCCGCCAGTTTCGAGTTCCGAGGCCTTTGGGGAGAACCTGGTTGAGCTGCTGGGATCCCTCGCGTTGCCCTTGCGGCAGGTGGCCGCAACCTCAGACTTGGCAGAGGAACAAATGCTCAGACACGCGGGCGCGCGCGCGCAGATAACAAACACACAAAGACAAGCGCAAACGCAAAAAATGTAACCACCATGCACACCAACGCAAATACACACGCAAAACGAGCGCTGGAGCACCAGAATGAAAATATGTGCGCAAACACAAATACACGAAAACAACACACACACACACACACACACACACACACACACACACACACACACACACACACACACACACACACACACACACACACACACACACACACACACACACGCATGCACACGCATGCGCACGCAAGCACACGCGCGCGCACACGCACACGCACACAACACACACACACCACAACCACACACACACACACAC